AACATGCGAGATGCTGCAGCTTTACTGGGTCCAATAAAGGCCATCCAATTCCCGCATACAGACTCAAGCTGCATTCCTGAAGATGGAAAAAGAATGAAACCTCTGTCTTTAGCAGTTGCGGAAAAAATATGAGCCCTTGGCAGGGGAGAAAAAGGCTGGTATGTCCCCATTTAGCCTGCATGCAGTTTTGCCTCTGTTCTTAACAGAGCTGCAAGCATCCTCTTGTTAGCCCAGAATTATATATAAAAAGAGGGTAACGCAGGAAAATGGATGTCGCGGAAGAGCAAATTGATAACATTTTTTCTCTGTTTCACAATTCCTTAGCTGTGAACTTTTCAACTGGTAGGAATTGAATTACTGCTACAGTAATTCAACCGGGTCTCTGCAAATATGTAATAGAGGAACTTGCATATTATTGCCATGTTCTATGGCGACATGGGTGAGGAAGATGCACTGCTGACCTACAGTGGCTATGTTAAAACTCAACTTTTATGCCCTAATAGAAGGGGGGAAATCAGTTTTCCCTTTTAAGGAAATGGGAATAACTATTATACAGACTAAGATCCAAGTGATGATGATGATGATGGTGACTATGACGATGATGATGATATTGGAAGGGACCTTGGAAGTCAACCCCTAACCCCCTGCTCAGGCAGGAAACCCAATACGATTTCAGACAAAATGACTGTCCAATCTCTTCTTAAAAACATCCAGTGTTGGAGCATTCACTGCTTCTGGAGGCAAGTCGTTCCACTGGTCAATTATTCTCACTGTCAGGAAGTTTCTCCTTAGTTCCAGGTTGCTTCTCTCCTTGATTAGTTTCCATCCGTTGCTTCTTGTCCTGCCTTCAGGCGCTTTGGAGAATAGCTTGACTCCCTCTTCTTTGGGGCAGCCCCTGAGATATTGGAAGACTGCTATCATGTCACCTCTCGTCCTTCTCTTCATTAGACTAGACCAGGGGTAGGCAACCTTGGTTCTTTTGTGACTCGTGGACTTCGACTCCCAGAATTCCTGAGCCAGCCGTGCTGAGGGGAAAGGGGGAGGTTTCCAAGCTGAGCCATGCTGGCTCAGGAATTCTGGGAGTTGAAGTCCACGAGTCATAAAAGACCCAAGGTTGCCTAACCCTGCCCTAGGCCTAGGCCACTTTATGACCTGTGGACTTCAACTCCCAGAATTCCTGAGCCAGCCATGCTGAGGGGAAAGGGAGAGGTTTCCAAGCTGAGCCATGCTGGCTCAGGAATTCTGGGATTGAAGTCCATGAGTCATAAAAGAGCCAAGGTTGCCTACCCCTGGACTAGATATACCCAATTCCAGCAACCGTTCCTTGTATGTTTTAGCTCCATCAAGAGCCCCAAAAAAGGATGAAAAACAAATCTTTATCTCCTCCACCTCTTTTCTCATTCCATGAAAAGGGAGAGAAACAGCACTGCGGATTTGCTGGGTTCGTGTCCATTTAGTGCAGTGGTTCTCAACCTATTTAATGCCGCGACCCCCCAACCGGTCGTAAGTCGAGGACTACTCAACCAGTCGTAAGTCGAGGACTACTCAACTGGTGCAGCACCGTTTGCAGAATGGGACTTTTGGCGGGCTCAGCAGGGCAAAGACAGCCTGGACAATTCCTATTGGCTTTTGAAAGCCAATAGAATTAGACTCTATTCAAGAGAGTCTATTCTATTGGCTTTCAAAAGCCAATAGAATAAAAGGGAGTAGCACAGCTAAGGAAAAGGGGGAAAAAAATGGTGGTCTGCGTTGTTTGGCGACCCCCGTGAAATGGTCGTTCGACCCCAAATGGGGTCCCGACCCACAGGTTGAGAACCACTGATTTAGTGGGTGGCATTTTTTTTATCTTTTTGATGGAGTTCATGGTATCAGCAGTGCAGTAATTGGACAGACCGCCTCCATCGATTAAGAGTCTTTCCCTTTACTCTCAGCTTCCTGGGAAAATTCTATGTGGCATAAACAGACATGGTATCAAAAGCGTAATGGCCCCACGGATGGAACCATTGTCCAACACTACATTTATTAATCTGCTCCTTTCATGCTTCAGTGTGCGAGATGAATTAGAGAACCCTAGTATCCGTTCAGCAGGGGAGAAGAGGAAGAACCAGCTTTCTTCTGGGACAATCTCCTTTGAAAGTGACCTGGTAGAACAGTGATTCTCAACCTTTTTAATGCCGCGACCCCCAAACGGTCGTAAGTTGAGGACTACTCAACCGGTCGTAAGTCGAGGACTACTCAACTGGTGCAGCACCGTTTGCAGAATGGGACTTTTGGCGGGCTCAGCAGGGCAGAGACAGCCTGGACAATTCCTATTGGCTTTTGAAAGCCAAGAGAATTAGACTCTATTCAAGAGAGTCTATTCTATTGGCTTTCAAAAGCCAACAGAATAAAAGGGAGTAGCACAGCTAAGGAAAAGAGGGGGGGGGGAAATGGCGGACTGCGTTGTTTGGCGACCCCTGTGAAATGGTCGTTCGACCCCAAATGGGGTCCCGACCCACAGGTTGAGAACCGCTGTGGTAGAAGAACAGAAGAGACGAAGGCTGCCCAAACTCCTTTTGGATACCACAGTAGGTACTGCATAGACTGGGGAGGCTCGGGGAGGGAACGAGAGTCCAGCCAAGCTGCAAGCTTCAAAATAAGCAACACAGCAGACAACGTGAGAGTGGCGCCTACTGAAACCACTTACACCCTGCTAAGAAACTACTGAGGTAGGGCTTGGGAGTGACATTAACCTGGAGTAGTTAATTGAGGTGACATTAAGGTTGCTCTAGCCCAGGGGTCTTTAAACTTGGCCCTTTTATGACTTGTGGACCTCACCTCCCAGAATTCCTCAGCCGCAAGTCATAAAAGGGCCAAGTTTGAAGATCCCTGCCCTAGCCTATAATCCTCAGTGGGATCCACTGGTGATTGCTATGCCCTTTGTAAAAAAAGACTGCCTTTTTTATAATATTTTATGGGTTTTCCAGTTTTACATTTGAGTATTTGGAAGGCAACGTGGTGATTGGGTTAATCAATAGTTCAATAACAAAATCTTTAGTACATATATCAGGCTACATCATCAAATGTTTCTTCTCTGTTTCCCTTAACATTTGCTATATTGTATTTAAGCTAGTAAATTTCTAATTGTATCAAACTCAGTGAAAACTTCATTATCACATTTATCAATACATTTTTGCTTATACATATATTAATAGATCTTCATAAACAATCCATATCCTGTTATTAGGTTTTACCTAATTTTTAGTTTTTGATTACAGTACTCCAATTTAACCTTTAATATCCATAGTATTTGACTTTCGGGTAACCCACATTTCGTCTCACTTCATAAAAATTATAATGTCTAAAATGCGCATCTGACTTATTCTATTTCTAAAATTTGGATTGCTAGCAAAAAATTAAGGGAGAACTGGAATAGCTATTTCGAACTCTTTAGCTCTTTTCAACCACAATGGAAATAATTATTAAATAATTAATTATTTAATAATTAATTAATATTAAGTGAAATTATTCTATTTCGTAAACGTTTTCTATTTCTCACCCTAGTGCATCACCACCTTAATAATAGAGTTATTGTGGAACCACCTGCCTCCAGAAGCGGTGAATGCTCCAACACTGGAAGTTTTTAAGAAGAGACTGGACAGCCATTTGTCCGAAATGGTATAGGGTTTCCTGCCTGAGCAAGGGGTTAGACTAGATGATCTCCAAGATCCCTTCCAACTTTATTATTATTATTATTATTAATTCCATCATCTATATCAGTGGTGGCGAACCTATGGCACGGGTGCCAGAGGCGGCACTCCGAGCCCTCTCTGTGGGCACATGTGCCGTTGCCCCAGCCTCGCCTCCCCCGTGACCCTCTCCTCTCCAGCAGCCCCCCTGAAGAAGAGTCACCCCTGAGCATGGCCCACGCGGAGCAGCGCAGCCAAGGTCATGGCAGCCAGGCAGCGTAGACAAGACTCTGCCCTCACACCCCATCGTGCACAGCTGAAGCTGCAGGGCGTGGGCAGAGGGCATGACCGCCACAGTGCTGCTGGGCTGTTCCTGTGGGCAGGCCGGGCGGGAGATGGGGGGCAGAGCAGGGGCAGGGCAGGGGGTGGAGCGGGGACAGGGCCAGTTTTTGGGCACTAGGTCTCTAAAAGGTTCGCCATCACTGCTCTGTATTATCTGGGCTAATCAATAGTGCCTCTTAATGGGGAACCGCCCTTAGGTCTTTCGGCAAGCAGGCAGCGTTGGCGACTGTTTGCAGCATCCCGCAATCATGTGACCACATATTACAACTTAAAGAAATACTTAAAACTGTCACAGGCCACCAGACACAACCTTGACTTACGTCCATTCATTTAGTGACGGTTCGAAGTTACAACGGCACTGAAAAAAGGGACTTGCGACTGCTTTTCATACTTGCAACCGTTGCAGCATCCCCATCGTCACGTGATCAAAATTTGGATGCTTGGAAACCGGTTCATATTTATGACGGTTGCCGTGCCCCGGGGTCACGTGATCCTCTTTCGCCACCTTTGGACAAGCAAAGTCAACGGGGAAGGCAGGTTCACTCAACAACCATGCTACTAATCTTAACTGCAGTGGGTTCACTCGACAACTGTGGCAAGAAAAATCACAAAATGGGGCAAAATGCTGTGAGGTGGCGCAGCAGTTAGGGTGCAGTACTGCAGGCCACTTTAGCTGACCGTGTTCAGCAGGTCAGCGGTTCAAATCTCACCGGCTCAAGGTTGACTCAGCCTTCCATCCTTCCGGGGTAGGTAAAATGAGGACCCAGATTGTTGGGGGCAATGTAAATATATATATATATATATACATTGCTTACTGGTGTACACCGCTTAGAGAGTGCTTGCACTTAAAGCGGTATATAAGTCTCATAAATAAATAAATAATAAAACTCACCGAACAACTGTTAGCAACAGACATTTTGGGCTCAGCTGTGGTCCTAATCAAGGACTACCCGCATAGTAAGAGGTCCCTAAGAAGAGCACGTTCCTTACCTTTTCAAGTCAACCGTTGTGACGCTGAATACCACTCCTTTGAGCCAGAGTATCATGAAGAGCCTCTGAGAGAAGGGGCAGTTGCCTATGCTTTCGCCGTCACTGCCAGCCTGTGGAAAAAGAAGGGGGAAAAGACATTGGTTAAAAATGGACAAGCGGTGCCAAACTGTTCCCTCTCATTGGACTAGTCCAGGGCTTTTCAACCTTTTCACCCATTGTGCCACTTTTAGGATATGGCAACATCCGAGTACCACCAGTCGCCTAGCAAGGGGTCAAAAACTTGATGACCCAAAAAAAAAAAAAAAAGGGAAAAAGTGATAAAGTACAGGTAGTCCTCGACTTACAACAGTTCGCTTAGTGGCTGTTCAAAGTTACAATGGCACTGCAAAAAGTGCCCCCCAAGCCACAGCCGAGCAAGACACCTGCTTGCCCACCCAGCCACGCTTTTCCTCCTGTCCGAGGTTTTCATTGTTGTGAGCATTTCTGTTGGGGATTGGCAGCAGGGGTGGGGTGGGGGGGGGGTTGGTTTTTCTTCCCCCCGTCTGCTGGGTGATTGCAGCAGGTTTTGGTCCCTTCACATGACCCTGGGACACTGTGACCATCATAAATATGAATCAATTGCCAAGCATCTGAATGTAAATCACAAGAGATGCTGCAACATTCCAGCTGATCGGCGCTTCTTCTGGGCTCAGCAGAAGCACCAGGATCAGCACCAAGCTCCAACTGGAACCTGGCGCTGATCTTGGCGCTTCGACTGAGCCTTGACAGCCCCGAAGAAGCACTGATCCTGGCGCTTCCACTTAGCCAACAGCCTTGCAGCTCCAACCATCTCTCGCTCAGGCTTGTGTGGTGCTGCCACCGATTCAGCTCATTCCCCTCCCCTGCTACCACTTTTCTAGGATGGTCGCGTACCACCTGCCGGGTGCCAATGTACCACAGGTGGTACTCGTACCACTGGTTGAAAAGCCCTTGACTAGACAGCGAGCTGAACAAGAAGCAGAGCCCTCTCACTTTTGCCTCAAGCATCACAAAATGAGAAGGACCCGGTGCCCATGTGTAGGAGAAGTGGCAGAGCATGGGGGCAGAGTCAAAACAGGAATCAGCCTAGAACTTCTACATAGCCACAAATGAACTAAGTTCAACCTTTCTTGAATTCCATTGACTCTCAGCCAAGATAGCGCTAACCCAGGGTTCCTCAACCTTGGCAACTTTAAGACTTGTGGACTTCAACTCCCAGCTTTGCTGGCTGAGGAATTCTGGGAATTGAAGTCCACAAGTCTTAAAGTTGCCAAGGTTGAGGACCCCTGCGCTAACCATTAATAGATTCTGGTACACTGGTATGATTAGTAATAAACCGGTTTAATTGGAATTTAATATGTGGTCTTGATGTTCACTCCTGGCACCGTGCGTGATATAATATTAGTTTGCGAGATCGAGTTTTTGGTTGGACACCGACACCAGGGATCTCTGGTCCCGGTGATCGACTCAAATTTGATCTCGCATCATTATTCTGGGACATGTATATTTGCCTTCATTCATAACATTAGTTTGATTTATGTATAGTTTTTCCATCAAGAGCCTGATGGTAGCACACACCTCATGTTCCCTCTTCTAATCATCCCCCAAATAACCAAACGGGATAAGTTAAGCTAAGAAAGGTAACAGTTGGGATAAGTGGGAATTCAGTTATTGTACTAAAGACCCATAAAAGAATAAGTAGCTGAGCTTGAGGAAAATGTAAGAAACACAAAATAACCTCACCTTAAGGAGTAACCTGGCCTGGCTTTTAAAACTGATTCCAGGAATGCTGCTTTATTGTTCTGAACAGATTCTTGAAAGGCTATCAGAAATTCTCTCCGCCCCATCATTTACCAAACAAAATCAAAACAGGGCTATTTTAAGTTCTTTCTCATGTTTCTTTCACTCTCTGTCCAGCGTTATTCAACCTTGGCAACTTTAAGACATGTGGACTTCAATTCCCAGAATTCCCCAACCAGCATGCTGAATGGGGAATTCTGGGAGCTGAAGTCTAGACATCTTAAAAGTTTCCTAAGGTTGAGAAACACTGCTATAATATTTCCACTGTTTCCCTTCCTCATTGGTGTGTGGCTTGACTTCTTTCTTTGACACTTCTAAACTATCGTACAGAATTTGTCAAGCAAACACATCTAACTGCTTCATTTTTCCTGTAAACGGTCACTTTAGAGCAGGGGTCTTCAAACTTGGCCCTTTTAGGACTTGTGGACTTCAACTCCCAGAATTCCTCAGCCAGTGTGCCTGGCTGGGGAATTCTGGGAGTTGACGTCCACAGGTCTTAAAGTTGTCAAGGTTGGGAACCCCTGGTTTAATGTGTTCTCTAAGTTGCTCCTTAACTGTTCATTCATACCTTCCCCAAGGCCAGTTCTACAACCCTTTACAGCACCTGACAAGCTATAAATACATAGTAAAGAGTCTTGAGTTTGGTAGAAATTTTTTACCCTGTTACACAATGGTAGCAATTGCTACCACAAATTTCCCATAAAAGTGTTTACAAACATGCTGCAATGTCTGAGCATCCCATGGTACGGGCATATGCTTCTGAAACAGAGTTTTTAAACAGATTATATGGCTATATATTTGAATGGGAGACACTTATTGCTTTAATCAGGCAAACCAGATTCCCCCCCTTATGTTCACATAGGAAATGATCAAAAACCTCAGGCACAGCTTTCCTCCTTACAGTGACATAGCAGTTTGTTGTACAAAATACATAATCTCTAAAGCAGGGGTCTTCAAACTTGGCCCTTTTAGGACTTGTGGACTTCAACTCCCAGAATTCCTTAGCCAGGCATGCTGACTGAGGAATTCTGGGAGTTGAAGTCCACACGTTCTAAAAGGGCCAAGTTTGAAGACCCCTGTCTTAAATCTAACAACAAAATGGAGGCTGGCTGAGGAATTCTGGGAGTTGAAGTCCACAAGTCCTAAAAGGGCCAAGTTTGAAGACCCCTGCTCTAAAGTGACCGTTTACAGGAAAAATGAAGCTGTTAGATGTGTTTGCTTAACAAATTCTGTATGATAGTTTAGAAGTGTCAAAGAAAGAAGTCAAGTCACACACCAATGAGGAAGGGAAACAGTGGAAATATTATAGGTGACCTAGTCGGAAGACTACAGTACACTACTCTCTTTCCTGAAATAATACATTGTTGATTAAATAATTATTAAACCACATAAACAAATTTTAATGCTAGCTCAGCTGCTGGTAGAATGACTATTATCCAGGATTTAATCCTCTATAAAAGCATTGACTTGGCACGTATCACAGAGATTTGAATAACAGGAGAGTCAATTTTTCTGTACGCCAGTTCAGAAACCACAAGCTCCATCCAATAGTCTGCCAATATTTAGTGTCTGTTTCTGTATTTATATGGCTGGGATAATAAAAGGATAATATTAGTGTACCATCATGCTACAGTCTCTCTTCCTGCACTAGCTAGGGTAATTTCTGATGGACTATTTTAAAATCTATATGCTGGATACTCTCCCCTTTGCTACTCAAACTTTATGCAAGATCTACATTAAGATAAGCTGGGTAGGAACAGGATGAGCATGGTTTTAAAACTGGAGGCAGAAACATCAATAACCTGTATTATGTGGATCACGCTAATGGAAAGGATCTGCAAGCTCTAGCAATAAATTCAAGAAGCTTTGTGAAAATATGGGACTAACATTGTGAAAATATGGAACTAACATTTTGTTGCCCTGCCAACAAAAGTGCGTATAGTCCAGGCCATGGTGTTCCCAGTTGCAATGTATGGCTGTGAAAGTTGGACTATAAGAAAGGCTGAGCACCAAAGAATTGAGGCCTTTGAACTATGGTGCTGGAGAAGACTCCTGCGAGTCCCTTGGACTGCAAGGCGTTCAAGCCGGTCAGCCCTAGAAGAGATCAACCCCAACTGCTCTTTAGAAGGCCAGATCCTGAAGTTGAAACTCAAATACTTTGGCCACCTAATGAGAAGGAAGGACTCACTGGAGAAGGGCCTAATGCTAGGAAAGATTGAAGGCAATAGAAGAACGGGACGACAGAGAATGAGATGGCTGGATGGAGTCACTGAAGCAGCAGGTGTGAACTTAAATGGACTCCAGAAGATGGTAGAGGACAGGAAGACCTGGAGGAACGTTGTCCATGGGGTCTCGATGGGTCGGACACGACTTCGCAATTAACAACAACAACAACAAACATTAAATATATTATAAATTGATTTATATTTTATAAATGCAAAGAAGACCAAATTCATGACAACAGGTAGAACAACAGACTTAGACCTGGCAATGAAGAAGCTGAAGTGGTGGATAGCTTCTGCCTTTTAGGATCAACCATCAACAGTAAAGGAACAAGCAATCAAGAAAAACACCACTGCCTAGCAAGTTGTAGAACAATCAAGCAAGGCCTTGGAAAAAAAAACATTCAGGTGCTGTCTGAATGTGGATATGGCTGGGTCCATACCTACAAAGATCGGAAAAAAGCAAGCTATGGTATTCCCTGTGATACTTTATGGAAGTAAAAGTTGGATTTGGGGGGGGGGGAGAATATTGACATTTTTGAACTATGGTGTTGAAGAAGACTCCTGACTCCCGAACAGCCAAGAAAATAACAAATGGGTCATGAACAAATCACCACACAGACTTACAACTCAGAGTTCTCACTTGAGGCACAAATAACGAGGCTCAAATTATCCAGACACATTATACAAAGACCTAGCTCTCTGGAGAAAGCTCTAGTGCTGAGAAAGAAGGAAGAGAGAAGGGTGTCCAACAGCAAGGTGGATGAAATCCATCACAGCAGTTTATGGGTGCGCCACTAGAAGACCGAAAGGCTCTGATTAGTAAGAGATCATCATGAAAAAAAATCTACAGTAGTGGCCAAAATTGTGGAAACCTTTTGGGAAAAGTGTATTTTTGAGGTTTGATGGCTAATAACACCCCTTTTTCTTGAAGGGGTACCATAAAATTATATATCAATGGAAAGATAATTTAATGAAGAATGTAATGCAACATAGTTTGTTCAATTATCTGTACTGTATTCTATGAAAAGTTATAGCCAAATAACCAGAAAAAGGAAGCACAACTTGCT